TTCCTGTATGACACTTAGGAAAGGGTGGGTACGATATGGTAGTAAGTGCTGGAAAATTGTCAAAAACCATAGAGATTGTGCTTATGTAGCTTGCTGTGCAAGTGATATTTGAAAAAAATAAGAGCTCTAACTGAAAGTGGCCTCATAAAACTGCTTCCCATTTAGAGGTGGTACCTGTCATTCACTGCTCTGGGGGCTTTAAATTTGGACTTGGCAAAAATGAACCCCTCTGTATATCTGTATAGACATCATGGATTTAATATCTGGTAGTAAAGATTACAGAGTGACTTCTGGAAGCCGTTTAATGAAGAATACTCTGAGCAGCCTATGTTACTACCTCAAACTTAATTTTCCAAGCCCTTTGCTATGTTGTTTCCTAATAACTCATTGACCTGCTTTGAGATACAAGTCATAACAGCGTGGCAAGTGGTACTTCCAGAAGTAGCATTTTAGAAAAAGTGTCTGCTTTAGTCTTTTTGTTTGCAGGCCAGGAGAGGGTCAAATTGTGGGGGTTTGGAGGGAGGGTGGTTCTAATTGTGAGAGAGGGGGGGAAAAATGATTTTCTGCCTAAAAACTATTAGAAAAACATCACATGGTTTTGCGTCAGGCTAGAACAAAGCATGTGGCATGTGCAAACAAAGCAATTTAATTAAACCTGTTTTTCTGTTGCTACTAGAAATGTGTGGGCCTTAGATTGAAATTATCAGAGGAAAACACACAAATTTCACTAGAAATGTGTGGGCCTTAGACTGAAATTATCAGAGGAAAACACACAAATTTGGGAGGTACGCTGATGTGGATGTCAGTATCCAATCTGGCATTCCTTCTCTCGGTCCACCTGCTTGAGATGCAAGGTGCTGTTTAAAAGAGGTTGGCTTCTACTACAGTAAATATGTTTTTGTGGTGGCTGGATGGTGGGGGATTATATAAATCAAGTGATATCCACATGCTGTATTAGTAGTTTCTTACCAAACAAAAGCATGTGTCATGTCGAGAAACTTCAGGCTTTGCTGTTGGGAGTAGGTTACCATCGGGTGCCTGCCCCGCTTGCAGGCTGGTGAAGAATTGTTGTGAAAGTGCTGAAGAGCTGCAGACAGCTTATCGTCTAGTAAAAGCCTAGTAAATGTAAACTGTGCTTTCCATCCCTGTGAACAAGCATCCTCCCTGAATATAAAGGAACACAGCTTTGAAATGCAGGAGAAGCTCATGAATTGCAACAACCTGAAGTTTTAGGGCTTTTCCACTTACTGGGGGAAGAAGGCTGGGGATCCCCACAGGAGAGATCTGAATTATGGCAGGCAGAATGCGGAATAGGATAATATATTTTAAAACATCACTTGAAAAAAAATACTGGATGTGCTTTTTCGTGATGGATTTTTTTGCACGTGCTACAGTAAATGGTTATACTGAGGATGCACAAGTTTGGGGTTGTTTTTTTTAATTTTATGATTTTTTTTCATGAGGCTGAAAAACCAAACCCCAAGGAGTAGAAGTCAAGAGGTAGGACAGGGTAGAGTGGTGGAAGGAGGCACTCCTCCTGGATCTGAAAGACAAGATAAAACCTCTTCATCCTTCCAGTCAAGGACGAAGGTGTAAATCCATTGTAAAGACGAACGAAAGGCAGCTGGGAAAGCTGTGGTGTGCCTGAAGTGGCCGCTTGCCCCGTGCCGTCCCTGCCCTGCCCGCGGCCCCGGCTCCTCTGTGCCCCGCCAGGAGGTGCGGGCAGCGAGGGGCTGGGTGTTTCTCCCGCAGGAGCCTGGCTCGATGGGTTCTGTTCGGCTGTGAGGAGCAGCGGTGAAAAATGTGTCGTTGATTCTTCAGCAGCGCTGAGAGAGAGAGAACAGGGATCTCCATCGCTGAGAGGCTGGAAAAGGTTGAGAGCTGCCTCTTACGTTTTTAAAAGTCTCTCTTCAAATTTTACCCTCAAGGCTGAGATACGAGACAGCAGGATGATGTGAAAACGTCAACAGCAAGGTCAATTCCAGCATTAGTAAAAAATCCCATCAGTGAAAAATGTGCCGTGCCACATTTGTGTGGCAGATACCGTCTTTCAGATCTGAGAAGCAGGTGGAAAAAGCATTGCCTTAGCCTGGAGGGGGTCATAGTGGCTCCCCTCTGCCAGTCCCATGAGCTGCCCAGCCTCTGTAAAATCTTGCAATGTGGTAGCTTGAGAACGGGTTAAAAAATGGCAATGTAACGTCCCAAAGTAGCTGCCTTTGTAGCTGGGTTTAGTGGGAGAGTTTGAAATCCTTATAGGAAGATTCGCAAATTACACTAGTAAGTTTAACTAGTTCTCCGGTCTCTTAAGTCAGTAAGTGTCTGAAACCCGGCTGCAATAAAGCCCAAGATACCGTCCCGGAGTGCTGACAGCTGGACTCGTAAGCGCAGGCCCGTATGCCTTCTCCGTGTTTTCCCCAATGACTCCATTCCCGTGAGCAGACGAGGCCAGTCCGTGTGGATGTGTGCGTTAGCAGCATGGTCTGGGAAAGTATGTTTAAATATATATTTTTTTTCAGTAGTATCACATCAGATTTGATCTGACTGTTTTAACTGCAGATGATGAAGAAAGAGATCTACAAAATGACCTCGTCGATTACGGCAAGCCACGCTTCAGTGACGGTGTTCTTTAAAGGCCTGGATTAAGCAGGAAATGTGGATGAGAAGAGATCTCAACTGAGGAACTCGAAGTGCTGCAAAACTGAACCATTTTTACTTCAGTGTTTCTTACTTTAAAGGAAGCTGATAATCAAGTGTCAAGTATACTCAAAGTCAGCGAAGTAACAGAAGGAAACAGTTCTGTACATATGTACATAGTTGTACTATTGCAAATTGTATTAAAACTACATTTCTGTTGTTACATTGAGCCAATTACTTAGACTGTACCTTATCTGTAATAATCTTTACATTTAAAACCAATATTATAAATACGGGCTGAATTGTTTCTGCAATTTAGAAAACTTTGTAAACTGGAGAACTTGTACAGTTTGTATCTCATGTAACAAATACACTGTGGAAATGATGTACAGCCAAAGGACTCCTTTTCTACAGTAACACCTGTATGAGCAAAACTACTCCTGCTTTTCTCACGAGTGCTGTGTTTTTGTATTTTGCAGGTGAGCTATCAGTTGAGAATGAAAACTGAATGTTTAAAAAACTGCTCCTTCCGTAATGTAACTGAGGAAAGGCTATGGCAGCCTTTGGAAGCAAGTACCATCCTAATTCTCGTGTACAATGACCAAATCTCACAGCTAGAGCTGGAAATGGGCGATAATAGAACTTTAATAATTTGATACATCCTAAAAGAGTTGTGTAACTAATAGCTTATTTTAAAAGGTAATATAAATAATTCAGTACAGCTTGTAGGAAGTCTTTGTGTATGTGTTAAAGCGAGCAAGGGCGTTAGTGAGAAACAGGCAAGTCCGCATCAGCTCTGTAGGGACCTTAACGGGAGGAACAACGCTGACCCTCGGTAAATACGTTGTGCGCGCTGTTTTACTGTCTCAAGAGCGTCCATCATGTGTCACGGTCACTCAAGTTAATTTACCGTTTAATACTTTGATACAGATCTCTAGACATCTGCCATGTCCCACGTTTTGATTTTCTATATCGGAAGGTTTGTAAGTTAGGTACTTTTTGTATTCTGTGTTTAAGCACTTTCTGACTTTTATGGAAATGATTCTGTTGATCTACAGTGGTGGAAATTAAGGTTATTGACCCAACCTGCTTCTCCAAAAGGGCTACCGTGAGCAGAAATTGTAGGGCCTATGACATGGGTGATTGTACTTTCTCTCTGTACTCAGGTTCCAATTTGAAGTAACAGTTAAGGTTTGCTCGATGCCAATTCAGTGAACCTTTTAAATAAATTTCAACGGTCATATGATTATTTTTGTTCTTTTTTTGGCTACTAGGACCTTCTACCGATCAGTCTTAAATATACAAGAAATAAAAATGTCAGCTTCTAGCAATTCATCTCAAGGGGTTTTTTGTTTAAGGCTTGAGCTCTTCATTCCGTACTTCTGGGAGGCAGAGGCGGGGAATAGCCCTTTGCATGGTGTGATGTACTTGCAGTTGAAAATAAAATGCTGAACCTGCTCAGAATTAGATACCGTACTAATACCACACAATGAGTATCGACTTGTGCCAGGATTCTAAGAATAGCAGTCTTCAGTAAATACTGTATTTAAGCACTATGATTTTTTTTGTTTGTCTTAAAATGTAATTTCACCCCGAACTAGGTGTTAACTTGAGTCTTCTAATGAAAGCAACATTTATGGGTTCTAATAAATTAAGTTGTTTAAACTATGTGAGGCTTCTGGCTTTTCTTCTTCTTGTGACTTTTTACAACTGGATTAACTTAGGGCATCAGAGAAGTCGAGGTGTTTTGACATACTGGCAGCAGTTCCAGCTGTGGGGGCAGCGACTGGGACAAGGAACTCGCTCCGTGCCCCAGCGGGTGCTCCCTGGGTGTTCCCCAGCCGAAGGTCTGCTTCAGCTCCCGTACCCCTGCAATCACAGGCAGCACATTTTTGGAGCTGCCTTTATGGGTCTGCGAAGAACTCGGCAGTATCGTACCTACCGGAGAAAGTCTTCTTTCAGTCTGTCATGGTGCAACCTCTGGCACCGAATAAAAGCTGCTTTGGTAGTCCTGGACCTGCTGCTGCTGCCCCTTCGAGCCTGCGATGCTTTTGGGCAAACAAACAAGTGACGGAGAAGGTGTACGAGGTGAGTTTACAACAAACAGGCTGCCCTTTGATCAATGCCTCCGTCTGTGCTCCGCCACAGGGGTCAGCAACTTTCTGTTGTTAGAAAACACATGAAGGAGGTTTACAGCGAGGAATAGCTGCTGCTGCTCACACCCGCATCAGGTTTTGGTAGATCTTGCGACCGTACGCTGACAGCCTGGTGCTACCCTTCCGTCCCAGTGACGTGATGGGGAGGTACACCACCAAATTTTATTTTAGCTTTGTGTCTTCTGGAATATGAAACCATTTCATGTTATTTCTTTGAATCTGTACAAGCGTGGTGCTTTTGAAAACACCAGACCAAAAACCCCTTTCTGTATCAAAAGCAGCACGCTCCGCCAGTGCTCAGGGCCCATGTCACTGTGTTTACCGCCTCCAGTGAGACGGTCAAGGATACGAAGGATTCCACAACCTGTTTCTGTTCATTCCGATTTCCCCGTAACCCGGTTACTTCTGTATGTGACACAGAATGACACTATCTGGCATTTCTAGACAAAATCTCTAGATAGCTGATGTTGGGAAATGGGTGAGTTTTATAATTGTAGCCTTGCTGTAACTATTACTTGCATAATCAATTCCTTATTACATACAACCTTTCTTGTTGTTTTCTTGTATGGCACAGGCTCTTACTTTCTATTTAGAATAGTCCCATGTTAAGTTTCTTTAGGTCTACAGATGGTAAAAATTAAAACATTCATCCTACCTTTCAATGCCTGGCTAAACCCTTACCCTTTAATGGCTGTACTGGTTACTCACTCGGGCCATGAACTGGTGTGGGAGGGACCCCAGTCAGCCCACCATGCAGCCCCACCTCGCCCTCATCTGCGCCTGCCCTGGGCTCGGCTTTGGTAAATCGACGAGGTGGCACCAACCGTACGTCTGCGACAAAGGACTTGGCACGCAAGAGCCGCAGCGGCGGGAAGGTAACGAAGTGCTCTGCATCGCCCTTTCCCCGCAAACACCCCTAAGTCTGCACCCGCCTTACAGGTTACACCTGGTTAGGCAAGGTGAGAAAAATTCCGGTTTTTCCTACTATTTGAAGACGACAGTAAAATGGCCAGATACCAGCCCGGATTAATATTTGGTCTCAACTGGTACGCTTACTTCTTGCGTTTTTCTGTTCTCTTCCTTGAGAAATTGATACTCACAGTTTTATGGCTTATTTCATCATCAGCCAGGGAAGGGGGAAACGGAGGGTTATGAAGGAGACGCACGAGTGTCTGTCTCGGAAGAAAAATCTCTCTCCTTGTTTGGTTGGTGCCTCCTCGGCAGAACGAGCGGCTCCGACGATACGCCGGCAGCACTCGGTGTGGTTCTGACGACAGGCAAACGCCACCCCTTCCCTGCGGAACAGCACGGGGGGATGCAGACAGCGAACCGTACACGTGAGCTGCAGGCTTGCTCTGCTGCTGTATTTTGGGAAAATACTTGGCTTAAGTATAGCCCATAGAGAAACACAGTTTGATCTTAGTGGGTATCCTTTTAAGGAATCTAATTTAGGTCACTAAGCACTTTACCCTTCGTTATTTAGTGATCCAATGTTTAAAGAATTTTATTTCTAAAGGGGAATTGTTCTGTCAAACAAATTCCACTTTAGTAAAAAAAAAGTCTGTGTTCTTTTGGGAAACCACCAGTGTTTTTAGAGAAACGTTTTGGGTTTTTTTTGTGCTTTGTTTTGTTTGTAGGTGGCCTTGTAACCCTGTTCTGAGCCATCTCCCCTTGCACAAACGCAGCTCCTGCTGCTTCCTCCACCCCACCGCTCAGTCCCTGCCACCTTCTCCTTCCCCGTTCTCCTTCAGGCCTTCGGTTTTTCCTTGCTGCCCTCCTCCTCCTCCTCCTCCTCCTCCCAGAGTGCCAGCAGTCTCTCCCTCACACCGGGTTCTTCCCTCACAGCCCTGCCTTGCCTGGCAGCTCCTCCTCGCCCACTGCTCCAGAGCACCGGGGCTGTCACCTTCACAGGGGAGCAAGGCACCGAACCCCTGCTTCGGCTGGAACACAAGTGTCTGAGTAACGACTGAGCTGGAGATGCACGACAACAAATAGAGGCATCTTCATTTTTCAGGAATTCCTCGTCCTCAACTTCATGTCAGATTTGTTCTTTGTACAATATCCTGGGAAGTGACAAGTCCCGCTCGGTCAATCCTGTTGTTTCACGCTGTAGTGATGCTGAACTGGGGTAACTACTTTGGCTGTAAGGAGCCCATTCCTAAAGCAAAGGTCCCAAGAGAAAAAAAGTAGCCCCCAAAAATGGGGCTTGCTTCATTTTTACATGCTGCTAAGGATTACAAACTCACAAATTACCAGTTCTGTGTTTCCTGAGCCACTTTCTATTTTTTAAAGCAAGTGTAGTTTGCCAGCTACCTGAACTCTGTAGCTCTCATCCAATACTTATTTCACCTCTTCTGAGGAAGGTGGAGGGCTGAAGGAGCAATAAAACTGAGTGCCTTCAAGTACCTAGAAGAGCATCTGCCAAACAAGATGGAATAAATGCATGTTTTTCTAATAAAGGTCTATCAAACGCTAGCTCACTTCGTAAAAACATTAATTTAAAATATTAATCACTGATCTGCCGATTCGCATGACTATACCCAATATATTCAAAAGACAGGTTCTGTTCAGCACCACTATCGGTGTTTATGACTAAAAATAAGAATGACTAACCTATCTTGATTTTGTTTTTTAAAATGTAATTTTGAAATCCCTACGCCGTTTCTGCTGAGCCAATACTTGTTTCCATGGAAATAGCAGCACACAAAACGTTGACATATTTCCGAGCGCGCGAGCTACTTCAACATCTGCTTCCCCGAAACCACCAGCTAGACTTTAACATAAAACTGGCTCTCACACTTGGTGGAACTGGTTTACAAGAAAAATCAAACAAAGCATCTTTACTTGACGGCCTAGCCCAGATTTTTTCAAACAATATATCCAGACAGCTAAAGCAGCATGCAGCTCACTGGCTTCTTGTAAGGCTCATGTTATAAATAACTTTTCATCTACATGGCAACGCATTTACGGAGCCGTCTCTTGGAAAAAGCAACGAATAGAACCAACAAACCTTGTCCTATCTTTTAATCTCATTTTCATACACACCTTGAAGTGCTTCGCATCACCTTACCATTCTACATTGCCGAGCACTCAGCACTGATAAGAAAATTTGTAAGCGTGGCAAAGATGAGCAGGTACTTCTCACCAAAGCCTAACTTCCCGCCAAGGTGGTGTGAAGAAGCCAGTATTCAAAACAGATTTCAGAGTAGATTTGCTTATCAGTGATCGCTTTAGCCAGCCGGGCACATTGTCCGTCTAGAAGCCACATCAGCTGAATTTTACTACAATTCTTTAAACCGGAAGAAAAAAAGGAAAAAAAAAAAAGCGTCAGCTGATAAAAAGGTAGAGCATACTTTGACTGTACCAGAAGACTAA